AGATAGCAAGTGGGTTGGAATGCCTAGATGAGCTCCGTGTACGATGTTAGGATAATCAATCTTAACACGGAAGTGAACGACAAGTGAGTACATACAGTCCTCGGACTCCGTGAATTCGACAAACAATGGTGATGGTGGCGGGTGGTAAGATATACGATGAAGGGGGAGGCAAAGACAGAAAGGGTTTTGTGGCAGCTAAATGAAGATGAACTGACTGGTGAGGTGGTATGCGGGTATGGCCTCCAATGGGAAGTGGTGATATCTCCCTAGAGTTTTTCTTCAGCAGTTACCAAGATGGCTCTTGTGCAAGCGTATATAAGTGAAGCAGCGGCGTAGAAGGAAGCGAATCAATTAGAATCTTTCAAAATGCGTGTGAAGAGATGAAAAAGATCTCCTACTCCCTTGTCATACATTTTCAACCGCTGATCGAGCCGTCTCATAGGTCAATTATCAACCAAACCCCTTCCACAGTTTGTGCCCCCAAACTCTATCTATTATCTTAGCATATCGTGAATGTAGCGACCGGCCGTCGAAAATAAGCTTCGATGCAACTACGTTCTGCATACTCCTGAAACTAAGACTTGACAATCTAGCGGCACGGCTAACCATTTACTCCGTAGATTGGTTCTTTGGGATCGCTTTCCATTTGCCTGGAATCAAGGAGGTTACTGTAAGATAGAATAGAAAACGATGTGTCCGTTGCTATTATCATGATCATAAGATGGTTCGGGATCTTAATCAATGGGTTTGTAGAACATTGATCACTAGGCCGAGGTTTACTTTTCTTGCAACTGTTTGATGTATAATTATACTTTCTTACATCACGATTTGCTTTTGGGGGATGAGCATCAAATGTGTCACAGTAAGGGTTATCTGAGGTTTCAAACTCATAATAAGAAAGTATTATAGAGTACTGAATATAGAGTATACATAGGGCAGTTGCTTTAATGGCAATGTGATTTTGACTTAATTCAAATTAGATGAGATGAGGTAAACTCAGAACTGTATACCCTCGCGTCGATGAATAAGACAAAGGGGGTGTCAAATTCACGAAAAAGGGTTCGTTAAGTATACCACCTTAAGCTTTGAACTAGGGTTTGACTTGCCTGGCTTGCTTGACTTGCTTGACTTGCTGGATCACAACAAGCGTACGACACTACAACACATAATTACTACTATAATACTAGACCATAGACTAGGTACCTAGTTAGTCGTAGTCTGTAATCGTGATATGCAATGCATGGGACGGATTTCACCCGCGAGCGAATCAAATATCGATTGTACCTGAAAGTATCTGAGCGTACCTGACACTTGACCAATTTAAGACATTCTTGACGGTTAACAGCTTATCAATTGCATTTTCCCTCTCTTTTTTCCCTTCTTCTGTCCTCTAGCCTCTCTCTCCCCTCAGCATGTTCCGAACATTCATCCAATCATCCTTTTTCGGCAAGTACGAAGTAGTTCGATAATTCACTCGACTATACACTAGCGTTCATATCACGCCTCTGTGAAAACAAGAATATACGGAGGACAGAGTACAGTTGTCCAAATTACAGATGAAGAACATCTTTATTTGAAACAAGAAGTCAAGAATTATCCAAGATACTTCCATATACAATCCTACTTTACGAGGATTTTAAGTTCAACTGTCATCTCATGAACGCATCCAGCCAGCCTTCATCGCCAGAGTTTTTCGTTCATCGTCTGCCTCCTCCTCCAAGCTCTACTGCGCTTCCCCTCCCTTTCTAGATTGACCCCGTGAATTCATTTGATTCATTACTATCACAAAAGCGCTCAGGAAGTGGGTATCATTTTCTTGTCTCATAAATCATAAATCATCGGGGTACTTGCTTTTTGTCTCCTATGTCTTACTTTACTGTCTCAACATCAATCGAGAAGCTCACGAACCATTCATTCACAGCTTTGATTCACATAGGTACTGTGTATAGTCATCAATCAGAGGCAAAATGCTTGAAAACTCAAATGGTTCGGAAGAAGTCTCAATGAGTGATGGGTGACGGATGACCGAGGTTTCACCCCTTGATCCTAGCCGATGTAAGATTTGTCCACTCATAAGGCCCGAGTGCCGACCAACTTCCAAGCATTGATAGAATTACCCAAACAAGCGTCAACCTCGAGGTATAGAAAAGTGTATACAAACAGTATTGAGTACCGGTACATGCTACACACTTTACATAGAAACTTGTTTACTATAAAGTTTCAACACAACATCCAAGCTCCCTGTTCGATGTAATCCTCAAAGTATATTACATACATTACCGCGGCTCATGAATCCTTCCTTCACGTCAAAGCAGTCTCCAAACTCAACATGATCCGTCTCACCAATCAAGCCTTAAGATCGCCAGGAATATTATCAGGCTGAACGATCTACCATCTCTATTTGCCTGGCCAGGAATGGTAATTACTTTTCTCATTCCCGGTTCGAATCATCTTAATACATGGCGATCACCCAGGCCTTTTATTACCTGCCAGCAGAAATGGAACGGCCGAGACAAGAAAATCACGGAAATGAATTCTTTCCCGAGCGGGGCGAAGGCGGGGGGGAAATAACATGACGTTTGAAATCTCTTGGGAGCTGAGCGCTCCGAATCCTTGGGTTCTTGTCAACTATGTAAGAGCCCTCGGTGTATTGGTGCTTCTAGAAGGCCTGCAAGGCTACTCAGTACCAGGCTAAAATGATACATCAAATTCGATTTTCATAACTCATCCCTCTCTTCCACCATCATAACATCGGAGATTTGCGTTCTGTCCCGAAATGATTTGATTCCGAAAGGGAAACGCAATAACACGCGTTAATGAAAACAATGAACAGTCCACTATTTCCGTCGAATTGGCAAAGGTACAGATGCTGCAAGTTGCCGCTTTAAATTCTGACACCTGCAGTGCTGTGAACTACTTCAAAGTGCACACCATATGTTTGTGCCATGAATGCAGGGTATGGGCAACGCATATCGATAAGCGTAGAGCAAGGCATTTTCTCCATGAGGAAAGTCCTCATATGCTCAGTTCACAAGATAGACCTATCCATTCTAATCACAATCTCGAATATCGGTGTTGGTATCAACTTGGTTGATAAGTGTAAGTACTTAGTTCTATGGTGGTTGTATTGTTCTTGATCATTATTATCTATGGGAAGCTAGTACTAAATATAGGGAAGCGCTATCGCGACGCTAGCTAATACAGTGCCCTCTTGGATCACATGATCAATGTCCCGTCAATCGGGAAACGTTCAATTCTTGTTTGATATCTAAGTCTAGATTCAACATAATGTGGTTATTCTTAGCTCATATATAACTACGATTTAAAATCAAGTGTTAAGTACCCGAGTGTCGGCATGCGCCGTTATCTGCCAAATACCTAGTAGCAGAGGATATCAGGCTGGTTGCATTGCATGATAATGGCGAGAGCGGGAAGATACCGAGGTGGAGAGGATCAGGTAGGCAGATCTAGTAGATCCGGGGAAAGTTGCCCACCATGAGTTGTTTTTTCTTTTTTTTCTTTCGGAAATCAACCCACCTGCTGAAGAAATGATCATCTTGTGCTTTGAGTCCATACTATATTGTGAATGGACAATACCTTCTTAATACCTCCAATCAAGAATTTCACTGTCTGCTTTGTTATTCTATTCTTCTTGGCCATAAAAGCCTATGTACCCCCATTATTTCCGAAGCTTTCACTTCACATCTTTATCTCAACCAGGATATCAATCATTAATATCGAAGTGCAGTGCAACAATCAGGATTCGCGGCTAAATCCACATACTCGTACGAGTGCTCGTACGAACATCAAACTCCCGTGAACACAATTTCATGCTGCCCGCCCCAAATATGAGAGAAAACAAATTAGTAGTCCAACGAGGCTTGCATGCAGGGTACTACATCGTGAGTGTGCTTTGTCAAAGCATAGTCTGCATACGTTTCATGGCCTGGGTCTGTTACGAGTTTAATAGTCGAGGTGAGGCGCTCTAATATTATTGGTGTAGGAAGAATTTCTATTAAAAAAAGTGCTCTACGTTCTGATAGAGATCAAAGACAATCATTCTAAAACCAGTGTATAATAGCAGTATTCAAAGACAGGCTGTGAGCTGTATATCTCAAGCTATCGACTTCATTAGTATGCAATCTGCTACATCTGAATAAAATCTGCTGGTGTTTGTCAAAAGAGTTCCATATTGCATGCGCGTGGTCTAGGACATGTTCAAGTATGTTGCAGCATTTGTAGCCACTCAAACGGAAATTTGGGAGCACAATCTACTTGTAACTTGATACTCTAAAGGCTCTCTTATTGACGACAGGTAAACAAATGATTTGTAGCCCCTGGGGCAGCTGGTACTGTAGCATAACATACGTTTTTCCGTCGGTCTGAGTTCGAAATCTACACTCATGCCATCTAACTTTAAGGCTTTCTGGTGTCATTAAAGAAGAAAAGTAAGACGAGCAACAAAACTTGAAAGTGTAATGATTGTTGGGTCCTATCAGTCGCTCTCATTTTACCAAATTTATTCGTGTGAGATCCGCAAAATGACAAGTTATACGGTCTGGTGATTTGAGTTGGAAAAGTGCATCTCATTGAATTGTGATATGTACTCCGCTATGCACTATTCTGTAACATAGACGACAGCATCACTACATTCTAGTGTACCGTGCACTTTCTTGCTGCTTCGCTTGTTCAATGAATCATGTCATTTACATACAATTCATGATTCATGATCACAGAGGCGGGGTCTAGTGACACGCTTGGGTAGCTCAATTCTTATGCGGCTCCAACAAGCTTTTCAATGTGATTGCAGACTTGATTTATTTAACACCAATTCTTAACAGCATTCTGTTTGATGCTTCGAAGTGGGTGAGATTTCAAGTCTACCATTTCCGTTTAGTTCCTGGAGTGATAGGGAATCATCAATATGTACTCTCTGATTCAACACTCGACTAGAGAACGAACTTGTGCACGATATTTTTGTTCTTCGAAGAAACATTATCATGTCTATTTCTAAGTACTTTCATCAGTATCTGAACTTCCAGCCGATCCCAACGTCGCCAGCATTTGAAGTATTTCGTTTCACTAACTGAAAAACAATGTGAATGAAAAGTCCGAAAAGCTTATTCAGGCTTTCCAGGCATGCCAAGAAAGTGGTTTCTTTCTCTTGGAACTGAGAAATGGTAATCAAGGTGAGACTTTGTGGGGTGATGCAGAGAAGATGTTTGACATTACTACATTAACACTTACTCTTGACCATGAAGTATTGAAGGAATACGCATAGCAACCCACACAAAGTATCTTGATGTAGATTTTTATCTCACTCTATATGGAAGTGTTCCCTTGTTGGTGGTGAGAATCCGGAGATATTTCCCAACTTCCCACGTTTTGTGATAAATTCAGTCTCTTCTTGAAAAAGACTGGAACCTCCGTATTGTTTCGTTGACTAATCTTATACTAAAAATCCAAATTTCGCAGCACTTGAATGAATCTTTCAAGAGTTACTGCCACTTTCAGTTCTTGCGGAAATCCATTGGTTTGGGCACTCACTGCTGATTCAATATTTTGAACTTGAGAAGGAATGGACGGTGAATGCAGCTACACTACCTCTGACTATGAAGCTCCTGGTGTCTCGAAGACCGATGACGGTAAACTCGATAATATAGCAATTTATTCCTCGGACAAGACGATATACTCGGAACAAGTTCGTCATGTGCAAACCCCTTGCCAATCGAAGTTTCCGTGAAGATTGCAAATCGTTCTTCTATCACGCCCGTGGAGTTCTAGACGTCATTTTAACCCACCTTTAAAAGCATCTGCCTCTCGCACACGGCACCCTAGTGTCCCTGAACTCTTTAGACAAAGAATTATGTACTTTTCTACGTATGCTAGTTAGTCGTTCACAATCAATCACAAAAGATCATCCGATCATATTAGGCGCCATACAGATATTGGAACCATAACGATGCTGGGAGAATGGTAGGAAAACTCAATGGAGGGGTGAAAGCTGGATCGATTTGAGATTAATGGGATTTGGATCAAAGTTACATAGATATGATGGTGAAATGTACTTACTGAAAACTTGTCCCTTCACGGGCCTTATTTGTCGCTGTCGTAAGCGTTCGGCTATTTAACGTAGTCATGTCCCATGTAGTGCAAATGCTGGTCTTCTAACAAATAAAAGGGTCAACCGCAGTACTTGCACATCGCTCTCGATAATATATTGTCCTGGTAGATTCGAGATAGGGATTCAAAACTACTTAAGCACATAAACAAAGCAAGATGATTAATCAAAGTGGAATTTGCCCTTGCAGTCGCTCGGCCAAGCTCAACTTCAGTATGCAACAGTGGAATGAGCAAGAAAGAAATTGGAGAATTAGCGTATAGATGGAATGAAAGCGTGAGGTCGAAGATGAATATCATTTGGGATGCATGGTGAGCAGAAAGTGTACATATGACAAATAGAGGGATTTTAGGATAGGTCCAGGTTAGTCAAGTCTCAGGAACCAGAATGCTTGACTGAATACAAAATGTACTTCTGGCCGATTGTATGAAAGAATGTAGAATTGAGAGGATACGAAACAAGCAAAGTATATTAGTATATAGAGCAATTCCGTACTAACAGAGAGGCTCTCATGGTTCTGATAGATATAGAGAAGAGGAAGAAGGTTGTGACGACTGATTTATCCGCACCCTCAAAAGCTTCCGCAACTATGATACTGCTCTGGAGATGTCATGCAATTGTCAATTGGTATATGATGTACAAATCGGAGACGACATCCCACCGAAATCAAGCTCCCCTAACCAATAACACCTAACGCCACGCTTTCTCATCTTTCCTGCACCGTGTTATCTTAAGATTTCTTGTTCATTGAGAACCCTCTTGTCATGAAATCTCCACCCTTTTGATTCTGTGCATTGTATCCGGTATTCGAAAACAAACTCTTAAGATTGTCATTCATCCCCAACTTTCGTCTTTTGTTTCGTTCCTCTTGCTCTTCCAAAACTTTGGCTGTTAAGCTTGCCGCTGATGCATTTTTTATACCTGAAGGTGCTGTGGATGACCCATTATTTGACTTTGTTGTCGCTGGCCCATTTCCATTCTCTTGCATTCGAGCCTGGGTCTTGTCGGCAGCTCCATTTTCTTTCGCTCGAGATTGGTTCTTGTGAAGGGAGTTTTCTTTCCTGCCGTCCGAGGGGACCGCAGACTCTGTTTCTGTCGCGTGCTTTCTTTTTTTCTTTCCCCCTGGAGCTTTCTTCAGCGAATGAGTTAACCCTCCCTCCTTCAGCTTACTCGCTCGCAATGCTAATCTTGAGATATCTTCTTTCGATATGGGAAGGATAGATATGACATTATCCGCAGTATATCCCTCATTACACTCCACACATGTATCACTTTTTAGCTCTTTGATTGCAACTTCTGAGAACGCATGTCCACAAGGCACTAAATAGACAGCTCTGGTACTAGCTCCCAACTCCTTACTGGTTATAGGACATATCTTTTTTTCTTCTTTATCTTCCTTGACCGTGGAGAATTTGACTTCTACAATATCGCGGAGTCCCTTGACCCGCCCCTGCAGAATCTCTTCCTTTTCCCTTATGACAGAAGCGGGGACATCGTCGTCTTTGGGAAGTAATTGTTCGAGAATGGCATCTTTGTTGTAGAGCGTTCCGGCGCAATCGGATACGATAGGCGTAGTGAGAGATTTACTGGAGAGAGGACAATATGTCCAGGCGTGTGTCTGTGATTCGTGAAGGGTGGCTTTCAATTCTGAAGTATTTGGATTGCGGGCAGCTTCTTTTACAAGTTCGCGACGAGTAGGAATACTTCCACCATCGTTACCCATGACGAGGAAATAGATGTGCTCTGTATTGGTATCAATTCAAACCCTTGAAAATATGGAGCGAACTGTTTCATGGAGCGACTTTTTGGTGAGTGATACGATATAAGTCTTTTTTCTTTTTTGATGTAGGAAAGATGAAGGATGGCTTGTCATTTTGAGTGAGGCGGTCTTCGAAGTTCTTGAGGCGGTCTTACCGTTTTACTGATAAGGTCGTTATCGCCACGCACCGTATTAGTGAATGTGTGATTTAGCGTACTTTTCACCTCGAACTCGTCTGTTCGGCATCAAAACATCAAGCTCTCCGTCATTGACAACTACCCAGGTATCTTATAAGACAGTGAGCATCTTAAACTCTTGCCTGCCCATAATCGAATTGCAGGTCTATTCAACAACAAATACCATAACGAAAACAATTACTAAGCCGGGTAGCCGCACAAAGACGAGGACGTGGACGAGGACGAGGACGAGGACGAGGATGGAATGCGCATAATACTGTTGCTGGTTGAACTGCAGACTCATTCATTGAGAGAGAAGCTTTGAAAAGAGGCCAAGATGTCGCAACAATCCAATCAAGCATTTGATGCCTTGAATCGCATTGTGACAGATTTACGATCACGGTTAGCTTGACGCAACAAAGTATATTGCTATGCGGTGTTGGTAGCTAATAATTCGGATGTAGGAGTGATGAACAACGAAAGAGAGCAGCCTTGGAGTTGAGAGAGTTACTAGAGGTGGCTTCTAGAGGTGAGGCTCTCATTTCATATTGGTCTATGGGACTGGGAACTAACCAATGTTCTGTTAGACTTTCCCCAGGAACGATACACGGAGTTTTCTAATATCGTCAGTGGGAAAATCACCAGCCTCATCGGTCACCATGGAGATGTTGAGCGAACTGGTGGTATATATGCTATCGATGCGCTGGTCGACTTCGACGGTATAGAAGTCGGACAACGAGTCACTCGATTCGGACAATCCCTTCGAAATATATTGAGGGGGAAGGATCTTGCTCCTATGCAACCGGCGGCAATGGCATTGGGGAAGATGTGCAGGCCTGGAGGTTCGTTGGTGTCGGACCTGGTGGAGAGTGAGATTAAAACCGCCCTGGAATACTTGCAGTCTGATCGAATCGAAGAAAAAAGATATAGCGCGGTTCTGGTTTTGCGAGAACTGGGCAGAAACTCTCCAACGCTGGTTTACACTTTTGTTGGACTAATATTCGATCAAATATGGGTAGGTTTGAGAGATCAGCGACTTCTCATCCGACAGACTGCAGCAGAAGCTATAAGTGCATGCTTCCAGATAATAAGGGAGAGAGATCCAACTCTACGACAGACATGGCAGGCAAAAATATACGATGAAGCTGTTCAGGGTGTGAGACAAGGGACTGTGGAATATATCCATGGATCCCTTCTTGTAATTAAGGAGCTTCTTCAGCAAGGTGGTATGTTTATGCATGAGCATTATCCGGAAGTGTGCGAAATTGTTTTTCGACACAAAGATCACCGAGACGCACAGATTCGTAAAACGGTTGTTATGCTGATACCCGAATTGGCGAACTATTCCCCTACCGAGTTTGCCCAATCCTACCTTCACAGGTTTATGGTATTCTTATCCGGTATGCTCAAGAAGGACAAAGATAGAAATGACGCATTTCTGGCCATTGGAAATATCGCCAATGCTGTCAAAAGTGCTATTGCCTCTTATCTAGATGGAGTTCTAATATATGTCAGAGAAGGCTTGTCGCTGAAGTCGTAAGTTATGGCGGAATCTTATGTATATATGCATGCTAACCATTCGTTTCAGGAGACGACTCGGCACAGTGGACCCAGTCTTTGATTGCATCAGCAGGTTGGCAGTCGCAGTTGGGCAAACTCTCAGCAAGTATATGGAGGCACTTTTAGACCCCATATTCGCATGTGAGCTAAGTCCCAAGCTAACTCAAGCTTTGGTGGATATGGCTTTTTATATACCACCAGTAAAGCCTATCATCCAAGAAAGATTGCTGGACATGCTGAGCAAAGTTCTCTGTGGCGAGCCATTCAAACCGTTGGGAGCCCCAACACCAAACAACATTGCTGCTGCGCCAGTCGTGCCAAAAGACTCAAAAGACCCACAAGCATATGAGCACCGCCAAAGCGAAATCAAGCTAGCCCTTAATACTCTAGGCAGTTTTGACTTTTCTGGACATGTTCTAAACGAATTTGTGCGCGATGTTGCTATCAAATATGTCGAAGACGAGAATCCAGAGATTAGAGAGGCAGCTGCTTTGACGTGCTGTCAACTTTATGTCCGAGATCCTATTGTTAATCAAACGAGCCACCATGCTATTCAAGTCGTTAGCGAAGTTATTGAGAAATTACTTACCGTCGGTGTTGGGGATCCGGATCCTAGCATTCGAAGAGTGGTTCTAGCTGCTCTTGACGAACGATTCGATCGACATCTTGCCAAAGCAGAGAACATTCGAACTCTTTTCTTTGCTTTGAATGACGAAGTATTCCAAATCCGTGAAGTTGCTATCACAATTATTGGCCGCTTGACACATGTAAATCCTGCATATGTCATTCCTTCTTTGCGAAAGGTACTCATTCAAATGCTCACAGAACTTGAGTTCTCCGACGTCGCGAGAAATAAAGAAGAAAGTGCTAAACTGCTCAGCTTACTCGTTCAAAACTCACAGAAATTAATCAAACCATATGTTACTCCTATGATGGATGTTTTATTGCCCAAAGCTCGCGATCCTAGTCCAGCTGTGGCTGCCACAATTATGAAGGCTATCGGTGAACTTGCCTGTGTTGGAGGAGAGGGTATGATTCCATTCATTAAGCAACTCATGCCTATAATCATCGAAGCTTTGCAGGATCAAAGCTCTTCTGCCAAACGTGAAGCTTCTTTGAGAACTTTAGGTCAACTGGCGAGCAATTCAGGCTATGTCATTAAGCCATATCTGGAATACCCTCGACTTTTGGAAATTTTGCAAAACATCATTCGAGGAGAGCCACAACGAGGACCATTGCGACAAGAGACTATCAAACTAATGGGTATTCTTGGTGCTTTGGATCCATATCGACATCAACAAGTTGAAGAGCGATCTCCAGAGATGCAATTACGTCTGGAGTCAA